TTCCACAGGAAAGCAGCTGCCCATCCTGTGGCCTCCTGTGGTCCCCACCCCACATCCTTGGGCGCGGCCAGGGACAAAGCCGGTACAGACCCACCCAGCAGCCAGGCCTGTGCCCGTGCCGCAGGGCTCAGGCTTTTGCCTTGATGCTGATATAAAGAAGGCTTTAGGGCGGCTGAGGATCTAACGCTAGCTTATTGTGTCATCTCAAATACAGAATAACATGGCACTAAAAGAGAGCTGAGAAACAAGGAGACAGAGAGCAATGAAATAATTTCCTAATTTGATAAAGGAGAGGAGGGTCACTTTCTGAAGGGCCAACATACAGAACGTGCGCGGAGAAACTCAGAAGTGGAAGGACCTTCGAGATCACCCACTTACGCCAGCCTCCAGTGTTATTTATACCCGAGGACCATCTACAAACAGAGTCTATAGACCATTAGGAAATGCAAATTATAAGCTGAGAGGTACTACCCAGTAGCCCACTGACTCTGATATCAATGGAGAATTGAGATATCCTGGAAGGTGAAACTTGCAGATACAGAAGTTTAACCATCTGAAGTACCGAAACTTTAAAGTTGTAACCATTTTTATGAACATTTCTGTAAAACATCTTATTCGTTTCTTCCTGATGGCTCAGGTTCTTTTCATTTTTTAATCATTTTTTTCATGGAGAAACATCAGACATTCTTCTCTGTTCTTGATTAACTTATTATCCCAGGTGACTTGAGACTTAGCTGTCTTGAGTTTCCATCACGGAAAAATCCCTGATGTATTAACTTGAGTGCTATATATATTCTTTTTCATGAAGGGAGAGTGAAGAGTAATAATATGGGTCCACAATCCCTTGTTTAAAGCCCCTGGATCCAGATATGTTTCTAAATTCAGATATTTTCACATTTTAGATAGGTGCTATAGCCCAGACAGCATGCACAGCAAATACCCTAGTGGTACTTGTTCAACACGTGATCATTTCCTCAGCAAAGCATAGGAACGCTTCCCTCAAACGGGATACAGAGTGGAAAGAAGGGCCCAGCGTCAGGTTACGCCAGGTCTGGTTGCCAAACGAGTTGTCGTATCAGAAAAAGAACTTGGGGGCTTCCCTGGTGGCGCAGTGGTTGAGAGTCCATCTGCCGGCGCAGGGGACACGGGTTCGTGGCCTGGTCTAGGAAGATCCCACATGCCGCGGAGCGGCTGGGCCCGTGAGCCATGGCCGCTGAGCCTGCGTGTCCGGAGCCTGTGCTCCACAATGGAAGAGGCCGCAACAGTGAGAGGCCCGCGTACCGCAAAAAAAAAAAAAAAGAATAAAGCCATTAAAAATCAGCAGAGAGGACTTCCCTGGTGGCACAGTGGTTAAGAATCCACCTGCCAATGCAGGGGACACGGGTTCGATCCCTGGTCCGGGAAGATCCCCACATGCTGCAGAGCAACTAAGCCCCTGTGCCACAACTGCTGAGCCAGTGCTCTAGAGCCCGCGCGCCACAGCTACTGAGCCTTCGTGCCACAACTACTGAAGCCCGCGCGCTTAGAGCCCGTGCTCCCCAACAGGAGAAGCCACTGCAATGAGAAGCCCACGTACCACAAAAAAAAAAAAGAAAAAAGAAGAACTTGGTTTTCCAATTTTGGAATTATGCATAAGAAATCATAGCCCCATAGGTAACATTCATTGAAGATTTACCATATGCCAGGCCCTGTGCTAAGAGCTTTGTGCATTATCTCATTAGACCCTTGCAATAGGTAGATACTTCTACTGCTTCCATTTGCAAATAGAAAAGCGAGGCACAGAGGCATTAAGTAACTTTCCCACCGTCACAGAGCGAAGGGAGTCGGAGGAGTAGGCCGCGCACCGAGCTAACCTTTACCAAGCGCTGGTTGCGCGTCAGGCATTGTCCTGAGCACATTCTCCCTCCTTTGATCGGCATCCGGTCCCCTAAAATAGTCACTACTGTCCCCACTTAATAGATGAGAGACAACAGGGAGATTATTTAACATGCCCAAGGTCTGGCCTAAGAGACAGTATGATTCCAGAGCACGTGTGTACACTGTGTTGTATGACTTTGTAGCCGGAGGACAACTGGCAGTGAGCTTCCGCAAAATTAATGACCACGTTATAGGCCAGAGCTGCTCTCTGCCAGGGACTTCCTCACGTTCAGCATTGATGTTACTCTCCTTATGCTTGAATACATTCAGTGCAGATTTTATACTTTCTTTATATGGAATCATTTGCCACGTGTCCGTTCACATCTGCCCTCAACTGCTCCCCCCCCGGCCCCCCAATCTCGTTGTCCTGCCTCATTTATCAGTGGAGCGTGGGTGAGCACTTGTCACCATTTCTAAAATGTGTCCTGGCGGATCTGGGGGAGCCGCTTTCATACCTCCTTCCCCACTCCTCCCCCCACCCAAGTAAACCAAGTTCTCTCCAAGCCACGCTTGACTTTTCACCTTGAAGGTGGACACAACCTAGGCACAACCAGCATTAAAACTCACATCTTCGATGTGAAAAAGTGATGTAAAGACCGGTTTTCTTGTGGACTTGGTTCCAAAACACCACCTCATTCCACGCTAGCTTCTGGTCCCTGTGCTGAGTCGGCGGGTTACACGAGCAGCGGGGAGCTAGGGGTGCTTCCTCCGACGTGGTCCCCACTCACAGCATGAACCCTGCTGGTCTCTAGCCCAGGAGGAGCTCTGTCCATCTCAGGCAAGCACACGGTGCTGGAGATGATCTCACGTGGAAGATGGCAAAATGCACTTGAATGTGCCAGCAGTTTCCAAAGGTTTGAATATCTTGGGTTACTGTCCCATCTGGCAGTAATCACCTTCTTTCTTTGTTTAATCCAGACAAGAACTGACCAGTTTTACCAGCGCTGACGACCCACTGCACTGACAAGGCCCCAGAATTCTTCTGTAGCTGGCTGTTTTGCACCAGCCGTTTCTAGTCCGCCCCATCCCAGAGAGAGCGGCGCTCCGTTGCTCATGAACATGATTAGCTGCTACAGTAAGCCCTGGCAAAGAGGGGCACCTGGGCTCTTCGTGTTCCGCATTGAAGGGCAGTCCCCTCCCGCAGGCTGGCGGAGTTGTGCCGCTCTGTGACACGCGTGTGTCGTGCTCTTCTGAACCTCTGCTGAGCTTGCCAATGCGGTGGTCCAGGTGTCGTCAGCCACTCAGTGCCTAGATGCACTGATGATCCTGTAAAGTCACTGAGGTCAGAGCCTGGCCATCCCTCCCAACTGCACAGGTGTCCTGAGCCTGTCCCTCTGGGAGGTACACGTGGCTGTGCCTTGGGGCCCCTGAGGAGCGTCATGCTGGCGCACTTTTCCGGAAGCTCGGCTTCCCCCAGCCTCACACGCAGAACCGTGGGTTTTCTTTGCTCTCTGTTGTTGCCTTTCTTCTTTGCTCATCACTGTGGCTTCTGAACTTCAGCAGTAAAAGAAAACCAAACCTCCGGTGCCGTCCCCACCCAGCGTTCCCCTGCTTCTGCTTTTTTCCCCTTTTCTCCCTGAGTCCCTCTCCTCACCGCCGCTCATTCCCCGTCACTCCTCCCAGCCTGAGCGTTAAGCACACCAGCACGTGGGCGCACACACCAGCACATGGGCGCACACACCACTTGAGACCTCGCGGGTACTTTCTCTCCATGCAGGCTCAAGAGCTGCTTATTCGCAGCAGGAGCCATTTTCTTTTCTTTTTTTCCTCCTTTTTTTTTTTTTTGCGGTACGCGGGCCTCTCACTGCTGTGGCCTCTCCCGTTGCGGAGCACAGGCTCCGGACGCGCAGGCTCAGCGGCCATGGCTCACGGGCCCAGCCGCTCCGCGGCATGTGGGATCTTCCCGGACCGGGGCACGAACCCGTGTCCCCTGCATCGGCAGGCGGACTCTCAACCACTGCGCCACCAGGGAAGCCCCTTTCCTCCTCCTTTTACTAACAGATTCAGTGCCATTCTGACTGTCTGAGGTAGTCTGACCTCCATAACAGGGACACTTGGCTGGTGACCCCTTACATGTCTCTTCCACGAGAAAATCACTGCAGTGGGGCTGCTGGTGGGTTGCTTTTGAGTTTTGTGTGGGATTCTCCTTGAATCCAAGTTTGATACAAAGATGGAGATTACAGAATACTACATTCAGTTTTATTTACTACCAGCCACCCTGAGTAACATGATTTGGACCAATTAGCATCCTCCTTGGCTCAAGGCCAAGAGAAGTATTCAGGTTTTCATCCGTGTGGGGTTTTCTTTTCTAAAATGAAAGGTTTACTACACCTGAAAAATAAAACAAATACTGAGTATATAAATATACCTAAACATGTAAATTAACGATTTAACCAGTTACATCCTTCCTCCTGGGTGAACTTGACTCAGGGAGTCCCTGAAATGTACACTGCACAGAAATTCACCCAGAGGGTAGATGTATGAACAGCGCTCTGGGACAGAGCACAGACTCTGAAACAGAAGGTCCTGAAATAGAAACTTTAGGTTTTTTGGAGGGTAAAAGGTGATTATCGCATTTAATAGATTCTTTAGATATTTTATTTCTAGAGTAGATCATATAGCTCCAGTATTCAAGATATAGCAAGGTGTCCTTTTTTTGTTCCTCAGGGAGGGACTGATCCTTCTTCTTTAATATTTAAAAACAAGCCACCATAAATGTAACTAAAAATGCAGATTCTAGTCAAATCAGGCATTTATGGTGTAAGGAGATGTTATTAAATGACTCAGGTAATTTGGGTTGTGGTCAACACCTATACATAACATTGTGGTACCTGTTGGGAAAGTTAGTCCCAACAAGGAAGAAAGGGTTAAAGTCTTCAGATGAGGTCCAGCCAGTCTGTGTCCAGAATTCTGAGTGTCTTGGGTTTTCCCCCCTGTGCCCAGAGTTTACACTAGGTGGCATGCAAGGAAAGCTAAACAAATTCAGAAAGTCGACTCTGGGGAAGCAGTTCTTTGGTACTTGCCACGATCGGAGGGTTCAGCTTTGGAGTCAGTGTTTGATTTGTGGTTGTTTCTTCCCCCAGGATGAAGTGTCCTCTTGTTGGTACAAATAAAAGATTTCTAATTAACACAATTAAGAACACGCTGCCCTCCCAGAAAGAGCAAGACCACGAACAAAAAGAGGATAGTGAGGAACCTGCGAAAAGCCAGGACCAGAAGGAGGAAAGCCGGCAGAAGCACAGAACCCACCCATACAAGCACAGGGTCCACGCTCGGGGCCCTGCCCGTCATTCTCCGCCGGGGAAGCGGCGCAGCCCGGAGAAGTCCCAGAAGCGATCCAGCAAGCGGTGAGGCAGGGACGCAGGGTGAGCGCGACCGTCCCAGCACCCGGGCCTGGGCTGGTGCAGAGACGGGGCTGAGGACGGGCCCGCGCTGGCAGCGCAAACACCCAAGAGGGATTTTCCAGCAGGGCCGCTGTCGTGACAGCGGAAGATCACCTGAGGCTCCGAGGAAAGAGTTCAAAGGGAACGCTCTGAAGACGCCTTGGCAAGTTTAAGCTGCTTCAGCGGTGTAGTATACATACGTATTGATTTTATTCTGTCTTGTTTGGAAGTTGGTTTCAAAATAAATCTTAAAAGTTTTCAGAGATTATTAAAACTAGTTCCACTTATTTTTTGGTGTGCTGCCCTCGTGATCCTTTCTCAAAATTTCTCAAAAAATTAAACACTTGTAAATCCTATACTTTACTTTTTTGGGTGACAAATTTAAGTTTTAGAAATCTGGCCAGTAACCGTATTTATGAAAAGGGCTAGAAATTGACCACGAAACTCTGATAGCACCGCACCTGTGGTCCTTTAAGTAAACAATGTAGGAAGATCTCCAAATCCTCTTGAATTCATGCTCCCTGTCAATAACCAGAGGTTCAAAAACTGTCTCTGTGGTTTCCGTGTGCACTCTCAAACTCATTCCTGAGACAGAGCAGTTTTTCTACATTTAATTTTGGGGGGGAATGTGTACGTTTTAAGTGGTGCTTTTAAAAGAACCTTCAAAAGTTAAAGTGAACATGATTTTCGTGCTACGTCTTATTTAGCTAAAGACGTACGATGCCACTCTCAGTATAGTTGTTTCAGAAATCTGAATTTTCAATAAAAGTGTGTTTACCATGCCTTTTTTCGTTTTTTCAATATCGGCGTGGCTCTCTTCTAACATACAATCATAAACCTCTCAAACCTGTATTCTTCCTTGCATTCTCAGGAAAATGTCACCAAGCACCCTCTTCCCCCATCCACAAAAGGAAGAAGAATCTCTCTGTCCATACCCCACCCCCAATCTTCCAAAGCGTCTGAGCTTATGCCTGGCCGCTCCCAGATAATCACTCAACGCAGCCCCACTCCCTGCTTCCTGGCAGCCGAGAAAAAACCCTTTCTAAGCACTGGAAAGGAGCACATCCGCAAAGCTAGCTTTGGGGTGTTGGACGGACGCGTACCGCTCCCCCCGCCGAGCTGCTGTGCCACACCTGCTCAGTCTGCTTGGAGCCGAAAGCTCAGGGGCACAAGCCCAGAGCCTGCCCGCTCTGCGCACCCTTGTCCCCCAGACCCCGGCCTCACCCCATGACTTGGTACAAACACCCTTTCCTTTCAGACATTCCAGAGGAATCATCTGGCTCATGTGACCGTAATCCAAACCAGTGACGCATTAGCCTGTATCACTTGTGCTAAATTCGAAATGTTCTGTATTTAAATATCTATTCGAAACAGCCCAGAGTTGTGGTTTTAAACATTCTTGTTCTAATGAAGTAAAATAAGACTGGACTGTATCATCTGTCTCTGTGCTCTGTGTTTAGAGCACACTGGCAAGCTCATTATTCCTAAAAGAGGGGGATGATTATAACGAGCATATTCTTCCACTCAGAAGTCAAGGAAGCGCCTTGGCCTCATCACACGTACCTTTCTCAGACAATCGTGGTAAAGGACAAGTGTTCCACAAAACCATTTTCCCTTTAAGATCCACTGTCCCACTTGTGAACTTTTTCTTAGAATCGTTAAAACTTTCATCACAAGCAGCCATGGTTTCCTGTGTTTAAATGTCAAAAGCAAATTATTCATCTGTGTTCCATATGTATACAGTGGATATCAGGGAGGGGCTGGTCCTGAGACGCAAACCCAGCCACCTCCTGCGTCTGCGGGGGACACACGGGCACGGCAGCACCATACTAAGAGATCATCCAGCCCAGGACAGAAGGTGGAGGGGGTTGAATCTCAGCCCCCCTCTGCCATTGGCTCACTGTGGGGCCTCCTCTGGGCCACTTCTCTGCACGGCATCATCCTCATCTGCAAACTAGGATGTTTGCACTGGGACTTCCCAGGTGGTCCAGTGGTTAGGACCCCACTTCCACTGCAGGGGACCCAGGTTCGATCCCTGGTCGGGGAACTAAGATTCCACATGCCACACGGTACGGCCAAAAATAAAAAAGTAAATAAATAAAATAAAATAAGGTGTTTGCGCTGAGTCTCTGGTTTTGAAACAAGTAGAGACAGAAGTGCATGTCTGGCCCTAAGCTTAGGAACTGCATCGCTTGCTTCCACTAGAAAGCGGCAGGAGTTACACCTAAGTGCGAGCTAGCACAATTCGTTTACTGTTTTACCTCATTTTAGAAAACATCATCTCCAAGAAAGTAAATGAGAAGCCACGGTCTCTGCCATGTCCCGTCACCTGCTGGTGGCCAGTCTTTCTGAACAGCGCATACATGGAGGGAGAGGGAGCCAGGGTGGGTAGTTTTCCCGAGAGCAGGCTACGTACTGAGGACGTCTCCTCAGGCCTGATTCTGGAAGGTGGCCGTGGAGTTTTTAATTTCTCCGTGATTTTTTTGGGGGGTGGGGGGCGAGGGGTGGATAGATCTGCCTCAGATCTACTAGGTGGAATTTACCATTCTGTCATTGATTATCGATGTGACTTAACGTGGCATTTACATGTTTATATTATTACATCATATCTGTCACTGCTAGAAGTCTTGCCACTGTCTTTGGATCATAAAGAATATCTGGTAGGTAATCAGTGCTTGTTGAATAGACGTTACCTGAGGTGAACCTCAGATAAAGTAAAGCCTAGCCACTTTCCTAAGGAGCATTAAACCCACAAGGTATCGCAGGCTATACGGGAACCCGCGTGGACAACAACATTCATTGTCTGTCACCTATGGGCAAACATTGTGGGGCCCTTTTTCCCCAGCTTGACTGAGATATCCAGTATTTGATATATAACACTGTACATTTAAGGTATACAACATGATGATTTGATATAAGTACATATTGCAAAGTGATTATCACAATAAGGTTGGTTAACACAGTCATTACCTGAGTTACCATTTTGTGTGTGTGCGGTGAGAAAGTTAAGATACGCCTTTTTTTTTTTTTTTTTTGCGGTACGCAGGCCTCTCACTGTTGTGGCCTCTCCCGCCGCGGAGCACAAGCTCCGGACGCGCAGGCTCAGCGGCCATGGCTCACGGGCCCAGCCGCTCCGCGGCACACGGGATCCTCCCGGACCGGGGCATGAACCCGCGCCTCCCGTATCGGCAGGCGGACTCTCAACCACTGTACCACCAGGGAAGCCCAAGATACGCCTTTTAAAACCCCGTGTCCACGTGGTTATCTTACAACCCTATGAAGAAGATGCCATCACTCCCATTACAAATAAGGAAACCGAGGAGAGGTTTAAAGTTTGCCCAAGGTCATGGAAGTGGCAGAAATCCTATTGGAAGCCAGGACTGTCTGAATCAAAAACCTATATTCTTTCTTCTACCTTATGCTGAACTTGATCCAAACTCAGCTCCCTCAAAACACAGGACTGGGATGTCTCAACGCACTTATGTCCCAAGGATTGCCAGTTTAAGAGCCTAAAGAATTTTTATAACCAATGCATTTCACTGGTTAAAATTTACTCCCGAGGGGATCTGAATGCAGAAGCCCTGTGGCAGGGAACATTTGCGCTAGAGCAGCATCTCTGTGGGCCAGTTTAGACAGCCGTCTAAATCCAAGAGAAAAACTCTTACCCTTCCGTGCTTCCGCGGTTAAACAGCAGCCCACAGACTATAACGAGGGGACACTAAACTCTCCATGTGAAGCACATATTTTAGGTTACTTCACATTTAACCTTGTCTTTTTTCCACCCACAATAGCAAGGTTTGGGAGTTAAAAAGTCTTAGAGGGGCTTTCCTGGTGGTGCAGTGGTTAAGAATCCACCTGCCAATGCAGGGGACACGGGTTCAAGCCCTGGTCCGGGAAGATCCCACATGCCGCGGAGCAACTAAGCCCGTGCACCACAACTACTGAGTCTGCGCTCTAGAGCCTGAGAGCCACAACTACTGAGCCCGCGTGCCACAACTACTGAAGCCCGTGAGCCTAGAGCCCGTGCTCTGCAACAAGAGAAGCCACCGCAATGAGAAGCCCACGCACTGCAATGAAGAGTAGCCCCTGCTCACCACAACTACAGAAAGCCTGCGTGCAGCAACGAAGACCCAACGCAGCCAAAATTAAATTTTAAAAAAAGTCTTAGGGTCAAGGTCTCTGTGGTACTATAAACAACATCCTATGGTCCAAGGAAAGTACACTACCTCTGCCTCTACCTTAGGCCCTGGAAAGGCATGTCTACAGATCATAGATTGAGCCCTGCCACGTGGCTCATCCCAGTATAGAGAATGAGAAGGACAGTCTGCCGAATGGAAACTCTTGTTCTCAGCGTGGAAAACAATGCCAAGAAGCAGGCGCTCACACACAGGAACACATTTTAAAAAGTAAGTTAATTAATTAATGTACGTTAAACTGGCACGACAACATAGCAAGTAGAATTCAGAGGGATTTTATAAATAAATCATTTTTATTCGGGTTGCCATGCCATAAATCTCAGTAGAAGGCCCTGGGCATTATGAAAAGGCCCAATAATAAACATAGATTTAAGAGCATTATTAATAGTTGACTACATGAGCAATTTCTCCCATCTATCTAGCCCTGTATTTTCACCGCTGGCTTATATAACTTATAAAAATTTCCTAAGTGAGACATAAACTCCAGATAGAACATATTTTATAAAATACTGGAGGAAGATGTTTCTCCACCAGGCGAACGTACAGCCTGCCCACGGCGCTGGTCCCCTGTCTCTCCCAAATTGTTTCTTCTCATTAATTCCTCAGGCATAGTCCTCTCAAAATGAACTAGTTTACACTGTCCAATTATGAACCTCTATTTACTCCAAATTATAGATCCATCAGTCGGATGGGTAGTCTTTCAAAGTTCGATGTCAGTTTACAAAGGAAAAACAGCAAGACTGGTTTTCAATCCTACAGGGTTTTAAAAATATTTATTTATCTATCTATCTATCTATCTATCTTATCTACCTACCTACCTACCTACCTACCCACCCTGGGTCTTAGTTGCCCCACACAGGATCTTCGATGCTGCGAGCAGAATCTTCGTTGCAACATGCAGGATCTTTTTTTTAGTTGCGGCATGCGGGATATTTAGTTGCAGCATGTGGGATCTAGTTCCCCAACCAGGGATCGAACCCGGGCCCCCCTGCATTGGGAGCCCGGAGTCTTAACCACTGGACACCAGGGAAGTCCCGATCCTATAGGCTTTTTTCTAAAAAAATTAATTAATTTATTTTTTGGCCGCGTTGGGTCTTCGTTGCTGCGCGTGGGCTTTCTCTAGTTGTGGCAAGTGGGGGCTGCTCTTCGTTGTGGTGCACAGGCTTCTCATTGCGGTGGCTTCTCTTGTTGTGGAGCACGGGCTCCAGGCACACAGGCTCAGTAGTTGTGGCTCTCGGGCTCTAGAGCGCAGGCTCAGTAGCTGTGGCGCACGGGCTTAGCTGCTCCGCGGCATGTGGGGTCTTCCCGGACCAGGGCTTGAAGCCGTGTCCCCTGCACTGGCAGGCGGATTCTTAACCACTGCACCACCAGGGGAGTCTCAGGTTTTTAATCCTATATCCTACATAAAAAACAAAGCATCACTCACTCACTCACTCATTCAGTAAACACTTAGGGAACCAAGCACATATGACAAGCACATGCTGGGCCCAGACTGGAGCAGTTTAACTCCTGTCTTCAGACTCTGCTGGGCCATGTTCATGTCTTCCAAATTCAAAGCTGTAGAGTATTTGTGCAGCAAGAGATTT